TTTTTTTTACATTAATTTTTATTTTATTGCAATTACCTATGACTTTTTACAGCAATATTTTGTACACAAATATTTTAAGACATCAAGAAATTTAAAAGTAACTTCATTAAGACAATAAACATGATCACAAGTACTATTACTTCATCAAAATACAATACGCACTCCAATATAGAAGCTAGGTACCAAAGACGATTCAAGTCCAAAAGTTGAGTATATCATCAAGCCAAAGAGACTGATTTACAACAAAAAAAGTACGAAATTTTTGAAATTTTTGATCCCATGTACTCTTTATATGTTGAAACTGAATCGATCAGACCAAAGAGTTCCTGAGCACACATTTGAACTTCCCCCTCGATTTGCATAATGGTTTCTTGCAATTTTGCCTTGGACGTCTTCAAAAACTCTGATGCTTCCTTTTCAACATTGTCCATGTTGCCAGCCTCTGTTTCTTTTGCAACGTCCTCAAATTTCTTTTGCACCTCCAGCATATGCCCGTCCAACTGCTCCAACATTGTGCATTCGAATTCTGTACATTTGCCTGCAGTTTTCCAAATGAGCCAAGCAAGATCAAAAGAATTTAAGACTGCCTCGCTTTCATGACGACGGACCAAAAGATGAAGAAAAACATTTGCATATCAGAAGGCCGTATGGTTCGTTCTTTTAAGGGTTACACCAACTTTATTCGAAAATATTCTACAAAAGCCAATTGGGATATTAGGAAAACATATTTTAACATTACCTTCAGCTCCTTTTCAGTGGCTAGATCAAGTTTTCTTTGCATAACAGAAATCTGATTTTAGTAAACAAGTAAAAATAAATACATATGAAAGTGAAACAGAAGAGGAAGACAATCGGCTCCTTCCTGCACTTCTTCCTGCACTGATGTTGAGGGCCATAAGGAAAATTTCAGTATTCAGTAAAGGCTGCTGAACATCAACAACATCAAAACTCCAGTGAGGCTACCGCGTCTGAACCAACAATTATTCACACTAGAAGAACCGATTAATGAATGAGAAATTTTGGACGTCATCAACCCACGAAGAGTTTAATTATCGAAAGAATCCTTTAACTTCAAATTCTAATCCTTTGCAATTAAACAACAGTAGCTGAATCATCAATGAAACACATACGGATCTCAAATAATAAAAGAAAATCCACAAAGATTTTAATTGTCAAAAGAATTAACTTTAGATTATAATGCTTTGCAATTAAATAACAATAAAATCATCCATAAATTCGAATCAAAACTCGGTTTATAAAAAGAACATCATCAATAACGAAGGATTTATGCCCTTTTTTT